CACACACACACACACACACACACACACACACACACACACACACACACGGCAGGTTCTAACCTAATGAATTCAAACCCATATCCATCTGCTGAGTGTACACCTACTGCAGCCAAGTGCACTGAGTGGCTAGATGGGCCGGCAGCACTCGATAGAGGACAGATTCTCTTTGGGTCAGTCTTCTACTTTGCAGATCATCTGATCAGGTGAGCAGCTGCTCCATGAAAATGTTATTATGTTTTCTATTTATAAAAGAGGCTAATAAATTCCCCTCCATTCAAAAGCCAACTTCACATACAGGTTTGTCGAGGGTTCAGAGGGCCTGGTATACCTCTGTGGTGTTTAAAGCCACCGCAGCACTTTTACTTCCATACAGAACCAAACGTGTGTTTAGAGCTAGCCGACTTAGCTACCACTGCTAACATGCTACTGCTCCCGCGTGGCGTCTCTATGTCATTACAGTTTATTGGGGAATTTGCCCGCCTGCGGCTGAGCAGACAGCTCTCTCGCGCCATCCTGTGGCGACGTTTAATACACTTTCACCGTGGAGAGTTTTGTAAATATGAGGTGGACTATTTTAGCCACTGTACCTTACTTTTAAATTAGCTAGCTTAGTTAGAGGCGGCTACCACGGTGTCTTACCTTTGAGGAGCAGTCCGTGTCCCCGTGTCTGTCTCGAGGACATCGTTGGGTCTTTACTGGCGAGGACAACGTCGTTGCAGGAAGATTAGTCCACGACGTTACATTTATTTTACATTAATATCAGCGCTGTCCTTAGTTTTAAGTGTTTAAAACACGTCAAAGAAACAAGCCGCGATGCACCACGCGCGAGCGACAGCAGGGGTCAGTGACGTCATGTGAAACAGGAAAACAAAACCTGAAAATAAAAGTCTGTATGAAGCATTTCCTGAGTTGTTCAGTTAAAAAAATAGAGTTAAAGTCACTAAAAAAGCTTAAAAGACTTACTGGAGTTACTTTATTCTGTTAAAAACAAGTCTATTTTTATTATTGCTTCTGTACATAAATCTTGTATGTAAATCCTTCTCCGGGCTGTTACAATTCGTTTTGGCTTTCATTTGGGAGAAAAAGAAATATCTTGAGCTCTCATATGACAAAAAACTGACACGTTTTCCACATGTGACAAGGAGTCAACATAAGGAGATAGAAAAATAAAACTTGTTCTTGCCCCAATACTGATCCAAAGATAATGTTGATATCGCATTAAGGAAACACTGAACCCATGACTGGCTACATTGTGCTTCACAGCAGAAACCAGTGAGACAAATAGGACTGAAAAAGTTTTTATTAAACCGATTATTTCTCTTTGTTTTACAACTGTGACGCTTAATTCCTGGATCCCAAGAGTGAAAATAAGCATTTAATAAGAGACAGGTTTTACTGTTTCAAAGCCCCAGATCTGTATGGAGGTCAATGAGACCTCTTTTTCTTCCCTCTATGCCCTTGAGCAAGGCTCCTGACGCTCGGAGGGGGACGTTCAGAGGGATAAAACTTGTGATTTTACCAAGTGTGTCTGTACAATGTGCAACTCCTCCTCTTCGCAAAGAGTCCCTGGAGCGCCAAGTGTCTTGAAATCTTGAGACATTGAAATTATTACATCTGAACTTTAAGCCACTTAAGCAGCCGCTACATCCAGGGTTCACAAGTCTGAACCAAATGTGTTTAATACAATTTAAGTTAAAAAAAAGACATTACTATTGAAATTTTAAATATTGTCATCATTAATATTTAAAATGTCCTCAGAATGCATCAGAAAACAAAGCATCTCTAAAACGATTACCTCACTGATCAAAGCTCAATCAAATGAAGGTGCAATCAAAATTAACCACAGTGAGAATAAATACAAAACACGAGGAAAAAAATGATTCTGAACTCTGTTCACCGTTATTGTCGTCTTATTTTAGAGACATTTGAACGTGTGCATCCGGTCCCGTCCATCAAAAACGTCTCTGCTGCTGCTGCCATGGTTACCCCGACACAGGAATGCCAACCTACCAGTCGGGGCCGCTCGCCTCATTCGATGAGGATCACAGCGATGCCAGCGGGTAGCCGGGGCTGAACCTCCCCCTGGGTACACGTCTCCCCCTCCCCCACTCCACAGACGGCACCGGCGCACCTATTGCCTCCAGAGTGGCTGACAACCGGCCCCAGGAGTTCATCGTTACCGTTCCCTTTTTTTAAACCACACAGGTTATTATTGGCGCACAGCTGCGTCGGGAGGCATTTCTCAGCGTTCATGTTAGGTCACCGATGCAAACACGCGTTGACATCTAGCAGCACCATGCACTTACAACCATTTGAGAACACATCTGTGGGCCGGAATAAAAGTCAAGGAATGGGTTCATTTTTGATCCAGATGTTTCTTCAAGCATCCATTTTCCAGGCGAGAGTTCTTCTTCATAAAGTGCTTTTGCATCCTCTTACCATTAAAATGTCACATTTTTACCTTCTTTTTTATCTTAAAGAAGAAAGCTGGACCATCTTTTGTTATAAAAACAACTATTAAAAATAAAGACCATTCTTCAAGGAGAGTCCCGTGTGCTCCGTTCATCTCCCGAGGTTTGGAGACTAGAGGTGCTACTTTGTGTACCGTCCCAGACTAGACGTGGCCCTCAGCGGTTTCTTCTGGCCTTTGGGGAACTGCCGCAAAAGGAAGTCAAAGTTCGACACCGTGGACATGGCATAGAAGACGTTGGCTTTGTCGGGTATGAGCAACTCTGAAAAACAGAAAAGAGAAATCGTCAAAAGGGGCACTTTCCCCTTTTTTTTTTTTTACGATTTTTTTGATTCTGTCTCACTGACCTCGTTCCTGAGAGATGACCTGAGTCAGGGTGAAGTCCTGCCAGTTCATGTGCTCAAGGTGATGCTTCTCCAGGGCCCTACGGATCACCTGGGTAGTTTTGTCCTGGCTGGTCAACTATGAGAGGCAAAGAATAAAAAAAGTGGCATTAAAAACACACCTTAGTGAAGTTTGTGCAAGAGTTGCACTTTCTGTGCACCGCTTTGGCTTGATGCTCGGAGAGTACAGTAGAAGTATTCAGATCCTTTATTGAAGTCCGCCTTCACGGCAAAATGAGTTGTGCTGATCATTACTTCACTTCGATGTTTGAGCTTCACCGTGCAGAACGACGCATGTGCAGAGTTTGACACTCGACGGCTGTTTAATCTGCTGACGTGGGAGGAGTTTATCTACGCTCGCCTTAAAACTCAGTTCACCACGTGTGATGAACAGACATGATCTGTGACATCACAACTAGTTTAGAGCCAATCACAGTCCAGCTTGCAACTTACAAAATGTGATGTGTGATATGGAAACCTGATGTCTACAGCGCACACACACACACACACACACAATTTTTGATCATTAATTTTGTTGTCATGTTTTTGACCTCAGTTGCAGCCCTATTGACATAGGTATTGTATAAGTACAAACAGTACAAAAAGTATCAAAAGTAAAAATGTGCAAATTAGAAATAAAAAAACTACAAAAAATCTCCATCTTTGGATATGAAAAAAGAACACAAAGTGGTGAAGATCTTGTATTTTGAAATCAGTGCTACTCACCAGGATGCTTTTGTACATGTTGCCGTTGTTGTGGCCCAGGTCCACGCTCACCCGCACGATACAGGAGTCAGCCACCTGGCGGTTGTACAGGGGCAGCGAGGTCATGGACACGGAGCGCTTGTGGTGGGAGGCCGGCGTGGGCTTCGGCCGAGCGCTGCGGCAGAGATCAGCCCGGCAGGAGGAGGAGGAGGAGGAGGAAGGAGTGGGGGAGTCTGTGGAGGAAGCGGCGGAGGAGCAGGGGGAGGATGAGGAAGAGGAGGACGAGAAGGTAGAGAAGGCTTCGGACACATTGTTGCAAGAGCTGTGGAAGCACTGCGGAGAAGAAAGCGAGAGAAGGGATATCGATGAGCGCCGCTGGAAACATGGTGAAAACATTTGTAGTGCAGTGGAAGTGAGACGAACCCCCCTGCAGCTCAGCTGAGCACCTGACCCACTGAAACTCCACTTGTTAGAGGGCTCACGCTAGCTTCAATGGCCCTTTAGAGAGGATCTTTTGTGAAGGGAGATTACGCAAGTTTACCGGTTTCGAAAACCATTCGGAGTATTATACTCCTTTTTAAAAATGCTTTGGGGCTTGTTTGACTTCTCCGAAAAAAGAAGAAGAAAGAAACAATTCTTTGTGAAGCGTAAATAGTGGACGTTGTGCTGAACACAAAGGCCCTATGGGACGAAGGCGTGTGCACAGCCGAGGACAAAAGTGTAGACGGCAAACAAGGTTTACCTGCAGTCTGATGGAGCAGGCCGTGTTGGGGGCGGACAGATCCTCCATCTCGGACCCACTGGATCCAGAGGATGAGACGCTGATCTGGTCCGCGGGGACTTTTTTAGACCCGTCGCTCACCGTCAGGAGACTGAGGACAAAAAAAGTTCAACGTGAGCTCGCATCAGAGACAAAACCCCACGATGATAATGCCGTTTCATACATGATCGTATCATATAATAGACTCTATTCTTATGTATTGACATGGCACACAACAATTCATGCTCAAAACAATTGATTCCTTTCATGCTGAGGCAATGCAGATACTGTTCGGACCGGACGTGGCTTGCGTGTGTTGGAACATTCAAATGCGACCGCAGCAGCATACTCACGAGGAGAGCTTCTTTGAGAGCGTGCGGTGGCTCCAGGGGGTCGGCGAGCACACGTCCAACGGAGGCTCCAGCTCTCTGGACAGTTCGTAGCTGTGTGACAAACAGAGATGAGAACCTACGATAGATTTCCACGCACTGAGGACAGCGTTGCGCTTGTTGCTAGTGTTCTTGCTGCAGGCATTTAACCCCTGAATACTCTTCTCTACGGCCCAGTTGTGTTATCTTGTTGAAACATTAGTTGTGGTTTTCTTTTTTTAAACAGGCTCGACCAATCGGTGGCAAAATGTTTATGCAAACAATTATTTACCAAGAACAGATTGCCAAAATAAATACTTAAATTGTTGGCATAATAATTATTGTGGCAATGAATATTACTTCGGTGTGCTTTTTTGGACATGTTTGAGATGGAAAAAAATTAAAAATACAGTCATGAATCAGGTAAATCTGTTGCTAATACTGGCACGAATCATTAACCAAGAAGGCACATTTGAAATGATTTAATGACTTTGATTAAAAACAGTTGTGGACAGCTTCCTCCTGATGACACCTAAAGGGCGTGTCCACATTAAAGTGTATAAGAAATACTACATTTGTCTTGTTTCATTTTGATGTATGTAAAATGTTTTATTGAAGTGTATTTAGAGGTTGTCTTTGATTATACTCTATTTCACAGAAAAATATACCAAAGTGTACTTTCACTGTAAACGCACATTTCCACTCAGGATCATAATTAAAAACTGTGGTTGGTTAAAAAAAATGAAAAAGACTTAATCTGGTTGAGACCATCGGAGAGACCAACACACAGGATTCCTTTAATTTTGCTAAATACTGTATGTCGACAGTCACGGTTTTGATCTTATTTCCTTCTTTATTTTTTTTATTTCTGGTATGTTCTGTAGGTAGCGGACGACTTCTTGTTATCTGTTCAGCCTTTTTATGTGTCGACAGATTTTATGAACTACGAATAACATGAGCTGCATCACCACCAGAGTTAGGTCACATTAGTTTGTATCGAATTATTGCATTATAAATGTCAAATGAGTGCTTTCTTTATGACGACGCTTCGACAGTGACGGCGCTAAATCTACGTCTCAACTGATAACAAGAACTGATTTGCTGACCATAAGTCGGGATTCAATATGACGGGACAATGTGATTGATGCGTACTGCACCTAACAATTAAATTATCAAAGCAACACACCTTTATTTGTCCATTTGTAGATTTTACTCTTTAATGACAGATGAGGAATTTTTACCGCGCATCCTTCAGATTATGTAACTGAACTTTTATTGGGCTTTCTGCAGGCTTTCCTCTGCTTGTGATCCGCTCGTTTGCATGTCGTGCGGAGGTGGAAATAAAGCGGCTCACCTCTCCTGGTCGGTGAGCAGCTTGTGTCCCCGCAGCCAGGCAGCGATTCTGGGGTGATGGGGCAGGTTGTACTGGGAGCAGGACGCCTGCAGCACACGGATCTGTGACAGAACCTCAAACTCCTGTAGGGAGAGAGACAAACAGAGTGTTAGAGATGTCCTGACTCCCTACACCTGGTTTACAGGTTTACGTGACCTGGAGCAACAAGGTGCGACATTTCAAAAAGTAGCCAACGCTGCAGTAAAGTGTTCCTTGATGAGATATGTAAATGTACAAAAAGGTCTCTAGCTTTCAGCGTGTCATGTGCCGAGGAGCCGGCCGGAAAATGTCCCTCTCAGTTTACTTTGACAATGCAAATATACTGAACGTGCCCAACTGCACCGTCATATAGTGCTGACAGAATGTTACACGGACACATTTGTACCTTTTTGACTACAATGGAAAAAAAGAATAAATAAAAGGGGAATGCATAAAAGATGACACAAAGAGGAACCACTTACCCTCCTCCTCTTCTCAAAGTTTATGAGGCCACCCTGTCAAAAGAGAAATACTGATTTATTGCATTTATCAATGATTCATTGGATCAGAAAATGAACAAAAACACTGCGGTAACACTTTAACCTAACATCCCCCCAAGCAGTATATCGATGATTAGTACATGGTCTATAACACATTGCTATGTTGTTTTAAGCATAAATAAGAACCTTTTTTGAAATGTTTATTCATGTCTTTGTTTGCAACCCATGTGAATCATCTAGAACTGGTTAACTCCATTTTATCTCATTACAATTATTATGCCATAGAAATATTATTTGAAAACAGCTTTATAAAATTTGCAGAAACTACAAAACTTCGATAAAAACCGAAGTAACTGGACTCTGCGTTTGTAATTTATGGATTTGTTTTTGTGTAGACACGAGCACAAACCAGACAGCTAAAGCAATAAAGCTATATCAAGCTAGCTGGTGATATAGCCACTGTTAGCCTTAGCTAAAGCTAAAACTAAATGTCCTGATGGCTTTTAAAATAACTCGCATCTTGGTCATTTTATTCCACATTACTAAATGAGTCAGTAACTAAACAATGAAGAATTAAAAAAAATCCTCAACTAAACTCCCGCTAAAAGTAGCTAACGTTAGCTTAGCAGAACTCAGTAGCTGACATCTCCACATTTGACTCGAGTCATGAAATTTGGTGAGGTAACGCTACCTCTAGATGACATTTAAATTAATTAAAAAGTAAAATAAATTCAACATATTGGTCTTTATATAGATATTAATTGTAGACAAGCAGTCAGACACCTAGCAAAACAGAGTTTAAATACTATCTACGGATGCTAAAAAGGGGGATTAAAGTAAAGTTGATGACATATTTTACGGTACATTACATGCCACATTACAACTGTTATCACGGTCAAGCAGAGGGACTCAGGTTACTCAGGCTACATCAAGTACCTCCAC